AAAAATATTTCCAGCAGCTGTGTTTCTTAAACCTCTTGAATTTAATATCTATATTGTAATATATCATTTAGTTTATCAATAAAATTGCGCTTAATTTTTTAACAGGTGGCAACCCTCCTTTAAAATATTTTCGACTGTAAGCCTTCTTAAAATTTTTTAGTTTGATATCCCCATAGCAATATTTAATTTACTTTATCAATTTAACTGAGTTAAAATTTAAAAATTGGTGGCAACCCTTCTCTAAAATATTTCCAACAGATATCTTTCTTAAACCTCTTTAATTTGATACCCATAATGTAATATTTCATTTATTTTATCGATTTACTTTAGTTAAATTTTCAAACAGGTGGCAACACTCTTCAAAAATATTTTCGGCTGTACGCCTTCTTAAAACTCTTTAGTTTTGCACCCACATGGCAATAATTCATTTATTTTATCAATTTGTCTGCGTTAAAATTTTCAAATAGGTGGCAACCCTCGTCAAAACTATTTGCAGCAGTTATCTTTCTTAAAACTCTTTAATTTGATTGATGTAATAATTTATTTATTTTATCAGTATAATTGGGTTTAAAACTTTTCAAATAGGTGGCAACCCTCCAATTTTTTGCGATATCATTGGTTCTGGTATTATACCAAACAATAAAAAAAAATAAATATTCGAATCGGTTCAGCCGTTCTCGAGTTTTGACGACCGTGACATACGAACACAACATTTTTATTAATATAGATAAGAATTGCTCGTTTAATGTAAAAGGATTTATGCAAGTATTATGTACAGTATGTAATAAATAAACTGTTTAAAGTTTCATAAAGTTCATTTTATTCGCATAAAATTAACAAAGAACTCAAATATTTTCAACCGATTTCTAAAAAGGGGAGGTTATCAATTCTTAGGAGTATTTTTTCTTCTTTTATGTACACTGAGAAAAAAACGCGTTGTAAGATTGACATTTTTTTTATTTGATTACCGTTTAAAAATGTTCGTATTTAAATCAAGTGAAAAGTGGATTTTTCCATTATACAAACAGTACGTATAATGGAAATATTTAATTCAAATACGCCCGTATTAAAATGAAGCATTTTTCACTGCACGGATGGCGTTTGGCACGTCTCGTATGCTTTTTCATATGTAATTAAGAAAGTATATGTATACAAAGCATGCACAGCGGTGACAACACATACACACATACATGGTACATGCCCTGTGGGATCTCGGAATAAACTTAGAGCACACCACAAACTAGACTGCAAGTGATTGTAAGTAGTCCAAAGGTTGGTCCAGCAACATGTAAAATTATATTTACATTTAACATTGAATGTCCTAGGCTCGGACCAATTGTCCGCTTCTGCATTACATTGTAACCAATTTTGGCGAAAAAAAAATCAAAAATAAAACTTGCGATTCGAACCGGGGTTCTCAGATTTTCTAAGCGGATACTCTCTCTGCATGCCAACGTCGCACATGAAAATTTGTTGACTAAGTGCCTACACCTCACCAAGTCGTTAATTGTACCCGTTGTCCGCGACTGCATGACATTGTAACCAGTTTTAGATCAAAACTCATACCTTATTTATTACATTCGGACCACTTTTAGTACAATTCACCTGTTTTGCATTACATTGCTTTATATTTTTGGACTATCTTTAGTCTAGATACAAAGCTATNTCGGTTCAGCCGTTCTCGAGTTTTGACGACCGTGACATACGAACACAACATTTTTATTAATATAGATAAGAATTGCTCGTTTAATGTAAAAGGATTTATGCAAGTATTATGTACAGTATGTAATAAATAAACTGTTTAAAGTTTCATAAAGTTCATTTTATTCGCATAAAATTAACAAAGAACTCAAATATTTTCAACCGATTTCTAAAAAGGGGAGGTTATCAATTCTTAGGAGTATTTTTTCTTCTTTTATGTACACTGAGAAAAAAACGCGTTGTAAGATTGACATTTTTTTTATTTGATTACCGTTTAAAAATGTTCGTATTTAAATCAAGTGAAAAGTGGATTTTTCCATTATACAAACAGTACGTATAATGGAAATATTTAATTCAAATACGCCCGTATTAAAATGAAGCATTTTTCACTGCACGGATGGCGTTTGGCACGTCTCGTATGCTTTTTCATATGTAATTAAGAAAGTATATGTATACAAAGCATGCACAGCGGTGACAACACATACACACATACATGGTACATGCCCTGTGGGATCTCGGAATAAACTTAGAGCACACCACAAACTAGACTGCAAGTGATTGTAAGTAGTCCAAAGGTTGGTCCAGCAACATGTAAAATTATATTTACATTTAACATTGAATGTCCTAGGCTCGGACCAATTGTCCGCTTCTGCATTACATTGTAACCAATTTTGGCGAAAAAAAAATCAAAAATAAAACTTGCGATTCGAACCGGGGTTCTCAGATTTTCTAAGCGGATACTCTCTCTGCATGCCAACGTCGCACATGAAAATTTGTTGACTAAGTGCCTACACCTCACCAAGTCGTTAATTGTACCCGTTGTCCGCGACTGCATGACATTGTAACCAGTTTTAGATCAAAACTCATACCTTATTTATTACATTCGGACCACTTTTAGTACAATTCACCTGTTTTGCATTACATTGCTTTATATTTTTGGACTATCTTTAGTCTAGATACAAAGCTATTATACCTACGACTATATTTTTCGAGCAATTGGACCAATCTTTCCTTCAGGGTGTTTATCTGTACAAATGCACTAATCGCGCGCTGTGTGTTGATTCAAACTCAACATTTGAAAACACATTTGCATGTATGGCTGTAGCTGAGTGTGCAAAGACACTTGATACAATTGGTTGCTGCAACAGGGTCCGGATTCAATTGCCATCAGACGGCAACATAAAATAAAATTTTTTTTTCTTCTTAATTATAATTTCGTATAACGAAAAAATATCTGCGCACTTCACAACGACATTTTTTATAACGTACATACTCAAATTTAAAACGAGTGGGGTTGGTGCTCTTTTATATGCGTATTTTTTAAATTTAGCACGGTTTTTTTAGTTTTAAAATTTTTTTCCCTCAGTGTGGATTTCAAAATATTTAGGAATCTTGTGATATTGGTCGCTATCCATTCGTATTGATGGTGTGACATGCATCTAAGGGCCGTCCCGTAATTTGGTTTAGATCCGATCATTGGATCATGAAAAACCTAACGGTACTCCTAAATTTGTACATCAGAATTGAAATCGGTTGTGTTTTTGCTTAAAAATTACTTGTTTAATAAAGAGTTCTATAAACACAAGATGCGGTCAACTTTCAAAAGTAATACAAAATTTTACAAAATAATTCTAATATAAATAAATTAATTGATTCCATGAAATATTTCCTCTTTTATGTTCTTTTTATTCGATTTATGACTTTCGATAGAGATGGTGATTTTTCACGATTGTTTAACCCCAAAACCCACCCCTTGTGTGCGCTAATAAATTAGAAATTATGCACATAATTTAGTAAGCAGATATTGTGAATGTTTTCGTTATGTAATTTTTAAAGGAAAGAAATAGGAACTACTTTTCCCAAAATTTATGAAACTTAGTACTTAGAGCCAAACAAGTTTTTAGGAGGTGGGCGTAATAAGGACAAACTCTTCATTATTTTACAAATTAGAAAATTTTTTAGTTAACGAGCAGGGTACACCAAATTTCGTCAAAATATAATCTTTTAACATTTGCGTTCATATTTCTAGAGTTGGTGGACGAAAGTATTTACCGATTTTGACTTTCTTTCAGATTTGTGCTTTTCCGGATAAAACCAATACATAGTTCGGTCGCCCCTCCGCAGTCAATGGCAAACCTTCGAGTGCATTTCTGCCATGAAAAACAGCTTCTCATAAAAATACAATCGCCGTTCGGAGTCGGCGTAAATAGGTCCCTCCACTTTGTGTGACAACATTAAGGCGCACGCCACAAATCTGAGGAGAAGCTCGGCCATACACTAACATGTGTGTAAGCGCCAATCTATTATTATTATTATTAGTTTGAGCATTTATGACATTAAAGAGGGTTTCCACCTGTGTAAAAAGTTAAACTCAATTGTTTAACCAGTGAAATGGATTACACAGGTTTACAAAAAAAAAAGTGTATGCATATTAAACCAAACCTATATATCCCTATGTTATTCGGCATGCTGAATGCGAATCCGAGGTCCGTTAGGCTCCATCACGTCAGGTTCGTGGTCATTTGAAGGTCAAGTAGGGAAAAATTCATTGAATAAACCTGACAATTCAGTAAAGTTCATCGAAATTAGACCTTGGGATGACCTTGGCATGACCTCCAGATGACCTTGAGGAATCAAGGGACCTCCATACTCGGTTTCAGTGACAACAAAAACAATTTTTTATTTTATTTTTATTGAATAAATTTTATGTCCTATTTGACCTTCAAATGACATCGAAGCTGACATTATGGAGGTTAACGGACCTCGGATTCGGGTTCAGCGAATGTAAAACCTTATGTATATGAACTTTCAGGTTTATTCAATGAATTTTTCCCTACTTGACCTTGAACTGACCACGAACCTGACGTGATGGAGACTAACGGATTAAAGTATGGGTATAAATTGACATGGGTTAAAAATGTTTGTTTTTCTGAAGAGGCAACCCTCTTAAGCCATAAGTTTTAGAAATTAAACTCAACTTGTATTAAGGGAATTGGATACGCAATTTATTCAAATATGCGTCGCAATACGCGTGTCAGTCGAAAAAAGTTTAACCAGGTTTTGGTTTTAAACTATTTATTATTTAATAAGTTAAAGCAATTATTAAAAATGTGGGTATCAAATGAAAGTGGTTTAAAAAGGCTTTATTTCTGATCTGTATTCAGGAGCGTTGTCACGTATTTAAAAAATCAAATTTAACTTGATTCATCAGGCACATGAAACATGTAATAACAATAATAACACCGTGCGACAAAAACCAAAAATTTTTAAAACACGAAAAAATCAATATAATTATTCACAAAACTAGGAGCCAAATATATTATAACTACGTTTTTAATTTTTCTATCTGACGTCAGGATTTTTTTTAAAGGACTGAAGTTTCCAGGATATGATTGAATAAAAAAATTATTTAAAAGATTTGGTGCATTGTAGAGTAACAATATGGGTATCAGTTAAAAGGTAAAGTTCTGTAGAATTAAAAAAGTGTAATTTTTTGTTGCACCAGGACGAATAAATGTTGAAACTGTCCTTTTAAAACTTTATCCTTGAATAACCTCGGAAATTTCCAATATTTATTTTTGAAAAAAGTATATATGTCAAGGACTAATATGTAAACTACCACATCCTCGAATTTCGTCTTCCTAACTTTATTAGGTTTAGATAAAAAAATTTACATTTTTCTTTATAAGATAGTGATAGTTACAATATACATAATGAAGATACTGGAGTCATTATTATGGAACCATGTATGCGCTCTAAAAGAACAAACTGACCGTATGATATTTATTAGCTTGCGATGTAACTATTTAATAATGGTGCACCGAAAAGATACAGCAATCAAGTTACATACCTAATGACAGTACGAATGGGAATTGCTTTAAATTTCCATTTTAAAGTGTCCTGATGATAGTACGAATAAAAATTCCAAATATTGATTTCGCGTGACCCAACCGACGTTAGCACCCTATTAGTATAAATATTAAGATTTTTGTATTGAAATCGATAGTTCGTCGATTGTTCTTTAATGTGCGTCCATTTTTAACGTTTGTTCGTTAGCCAAAGATTTATAATAAATTTTTCAATTTTCATTTTACGTAATTCCTGTATTTAGCACCCGAAACAGATTATTTTGGGTTAATTATTATTGCAATCGATAGTTCGTCGATTGTTCCTCATTGTTCGCCCATTTTTAACGTTTTCTCCTAAGCCAAACATTTTTAAACAAATTTCTTACATTTTACAGCTCCTGCAGTTAGCACCCCAGGTTTAAGAAATCGTTTGTTCGTCGTTTTTTCATCCCTAAAATCGAGAAAAAGCCGTTAATAAATTCATCATTTTTACTTTACGTTAAACATTACGTTAAACGTTTAAACAATAATTGGAATAGGGGCCGTTGAGCTAAAAAAAGTGTGCGTGAACCGCCCCCTTTTCCTGATTTTAGTGGCATATTTTTTTATGCAAACGTGGAATTTTCAAAATTTTTAAAAGCTTATATTTCGAAAACTATGAAAACCGATTTTCAAAATATGGACACAGTTGGAAAGGCGATTGAAGGACCTTTCATTCACTATATATAAATAATGTATACATATTTGGAGAAAAAGTAAAAAAAGCGAAATTATGGCATTTTTTTTTATAAAAATGTATGTTTTTCGTAAAAAACTAACTACATAAAAACTATATAATATATAAGAATATATAAACCTAGCTAACTAACTATAATAAAAGATATGTTTATCAATAAAGTTTTATTTTTTTGAAACGGGTTGCCACCTGTTACAAGTTTTATTAAAATTATTTTTTAAGTTAAATGAATTAGATATTACAATATGGGAATCAATTGAAATGGTTTTGAAAATGTTTTACTTCTAAGCGAAGGGTTGCCACATGTTTAAAAAATCAAATTCATTATAGCTGAGGGAATAAGGTAACTGAAATATGTATATCAATATGGGTATCACACAAAAGAAAAAAATTTGATGTATTTAGCAAGAAATGAAACTGACGAGTAAAAACATTCCTGAGTTAATTTAAGAGTCCAGCAATTTAAAGGAATGTAATCAGAACAAATCACTGATTGACAATGTATGTATGTATTTGTAATAACATTACAAATACGACGTCGTAAACCTTTGCTATGACAAAATTATTATTTTAGTTTAACTAAATTTGACTTCACAAAATGGCGGCAACCCTCTTCGCAATATTTGCAAGCTAAAACCTTTTTAAAACTCTTTCGCCTGACTCCCATATAGTGATACCTATGTATTTCAATTACCTAATTCCTTTAATTCAATGAAATCCATTTTCTAAACAGGTGGAAACCCTCTACAGTATAGTTTGCTTAGCTGCCCATTCTTCTCTGCACAAAAAACTTGTGCGCTTAACCGAAAAAAGCACTTAAGCGAATTTTCGTTACTACTTAAATGAGGAAGGTATCCAAATCCCTATGAAACCAAATAATGGAGGAGCACTTACCACGTAGAAATTACTGCAAACCAATTTTTTTCCGAATGGTATCTAATTATCTATATAACTATATAAAATTATGGCCGTTTTCCTTGTTCTGCGAGAAGAGCAAAATAAATAAAAGCTTGTAAAATTAGGGTAAGTTAGAGCCAGTGCAGGTAAACGTTAGAGCTTGAAAACTATCGATGGCAGTATCGATAGTTTTTGACTATCGAAAACATCGATGGTTTTGTAAGCACTATCGATAGTTTTTATTTATACATACATTATTCAGTAAGAGTAAAAGCCGGCTGAACCTGTTTCATCTTATGAGTCGGAATTATTATTACTATTATTATTAGCAAAGTACGGCAAATAATTTTTAATCAAAACTATCGATAGTATAGCAAAGCAAAATATACTGTACATGTATTTAAGAAATAAACCCTTTTCATACACATTTCGATTGATACACAACTCTTAATAATTCATTTAACTTATTAAAAAATTTTATTTTAATTTTTCAACAGGTGCCAACTAGAGTTCAAACTTTTTAATCTGACACTTCATTTTTGAAAATAGAACGAATCGTACAGATCTTATGGCACTGACAAAAAATGAAGAAATTATTTGATGCATTAGCAAAAAACGCATTACTTCAAAAAGTGCAAAAAATTAGCAGGTTTTTATTTCTTCTTTCTAAAGCTAAAAGCCTGTATCTATCTATATATATAAAATTCAAATTATGTATGTACCTATAGACACACTTGGCTCCTAAACGAATAAGCCGATCGTAACCAAATTTTACACACGCACTGGATATCTTCCAGGGATGGTCACAGGGTAAAAAATATTTTGATATATAAAGGGGGCGTGGCCCCAAAACGTGGACCCGGGTAACCTTAGGATGTATTTGTTTAATATGGGTATCAAATTAAAGCTGTTCATGAGTCTTTAAGATAGAGCAATTTTCATATAGC